CTGCAGCCTCTGCTGCAGTGGGTTGCCATGGGCTACCATGTGTAGCCAGCAGCCAGAGGGAGCGGCCCTCAAGCCTCCGTGAGCAGCCATCCAGAAGCCTGTGACTGATCTGCCTCCCCAGGAAGAGAGCAATGATGGTGCCAACATGGGCCAGTGAAGCGATGTCCTCCACAACTAGACTGAAGAACAAAACGACAGCAACTTGTCTGTTCCCCTTCCCCCATTCCCCCTTGTCTGTTCCCCTTCCCCCAATTCCCCAATAAAAATCTTAAAAAAAAAAATCAAGGTAACTGTGAGGTGATGGACATGTTAATTAGCTTCAGTGTGGTCATCATTTAACTATATATTTGTATATACATATACATATAGAAATAAAAACATTAGGTCATACACCTTAAATATATACGATTCAAATTTGTCAATTATATATCAATAAAGTTGGAAAGGGGAAACAAAAGCATATTCTTTATACAATGACTTTCACCAGTAGACCTCACATCTCCTCACCTAAATTCATTCCATTTAATAGAGAGGAATCTGGAAGGTGAAAAGGCATTTTTCCAAAGTTTGCTAGAAAGCCATTTGCCCACCCACGTAAAACAATATATCTACCAAAACATCCCAAATCAAAATGTAAGCTTCATGAAGACAGGTATTTTTTGTCTGCTTGTTTTGCTTGCTTTAATCCCATTGCCAAGAACAGTTCCTGCACATAGTAAGTTACCAAAAACTACTTGTTGGATATTGAAATATTGAGTGGTTGAGCACTTCAGTCCATCTCCAGATGTTATCAAGTTGATTGTTTATTGAGTTACTTACCTTTCTGTTATTGGTCCATTCAATCATTCACTTATTCAACACATACCTATTAAGCACCTACTATGTGCCAAACACTAGACTGGGTGCTGAGGACAGAAATGATGCTTGAAATAGAATAGGATCTCTTGCTCTAGGAGCTTACAGTCTGATACACGGAGAGAAAGGACAAAAGCAATCAGGTCCTGCAGGTTGTGGAAGACAATGAGCTTGCTGTCTCTGTTTCTCTTCTCCTAAGCACTCCAGTTGGGATTCTCTTTCTGCATGAATTCTGAGGACGTTTGAGTCAACAACAAGCATTCTGTTGTAAAAGAAAAGAAACAGAGCAGCATTTCGTTTTTATTTTCAGTCTGATCCACCAGCTGCTGCACCTCTACATTTTTGGTTGTGTTGTTGCTGCCAGGACTATGTCGTAGCTGTTTCTCTCCAGTGAAACAACCAGTGGCCAACACATATCGGATGTAATGGTGCGACGCTGGACTGGGCCTCCAACCACATTAGCCATAGGCTGCATTGTTGCTGCCGCTGCTGTTATTTTAATTATGATTGTACGTTAACCACCACCTTCCTTCCTCTGCTTCCCTTCAGCTGCAATGATGTATGTTACTTTTTGGTAACTGGATTTCATTAACATTTATGAACTCTCATAAAGTAGTAGAAAAAGCAATTTGTGTGGAAGAATTTTCCACCTCATTAAACAGTGTTCTTTTGGGGGTCAAGCTGATATTTTTTTTGTTGTTGGATTTTTTTATAGGTCCTTTGTCCTTCTCTGAGCCCTGGGGGATGGAAGGAGAGCGGTCCACACTCCGCGGGGCTCGTGAGCCCTATAGAGGGCGCTAGACCGAAAGAGGTTCTACTTGCTCGCTTCCACCTGGCTTTAACCCCCCAGGCTTTTCAGACTCTCCAAGTCTCAGGTACCCACGCTGAGTCGCTACGGCCTTTTCCTTCCTTGGCCAAGTCTGACTCCTTTACCGCCTGTGGATGGTGTCGCCTAGCTAAGGGGAGCGTGCGGCTGATCCCCGGGCCTGAATGCAGCTCACACCTGGGGCCTAAGGGGATGCTCCGGGCTTTCTCCAAAGCGAGGGTGCACGGCATCCCCGCGCCTGGCGAGGACGGTCCTTAGATCAGCTCTCGCCCTTCGACGCCCCCGTTGGCACAAGCGCACTGGCGCTCCCCAACCGAGCCCCTCGCCTTTGAGACAGGCTCCAACCCCGGAAAGAAAGGCCTGGGGGGAGTGGGAGGAGAGATCCAAATAGAGGCCGCGGCTAAGTCTTTTTAAAGCCCTTCCCCACTTTTCAAGCTTAGTTGCATCTTCTAGCCACGGTCTCCTGGCCCAAGCATACTGGGTTCGTTTTCACACCGGGACTGCAGTCGGAGCCGGCGGGCAATGAATGGCAACCAGGAGTCGTACAGATCTCTGTCTGGCCGCGGGCGACGCCTCTACTCCCCACCCATCCCCCAAATCCTGCATCTACCCTCCGGGCCTGTGCCGCACGACGAACCAGAGGAGCTCCTGGAGCCACTGAAGAGGGCAAGGGGATCACTGCCCGAAGAGGAGCCTCCCCCACGGCTGGTCCAAGGGAACTGGAGAACATGACAGCAGTTGCGATGGGCCTTGGTTGGAGATATGCTCTGTCCCACGCTGGGCCCAATATCCATCCCGCCTCCAAGTCCGGGGTAAGAAGTAAAAAGGGCTCGGAGGACTTGGCACTTGGGGGAGTAAAGTGGAAACCAGAAGACGCGGCGGCCTGAGGGCGCTGTAAAGTAACCAAGGAACCAGGTGACAGGTGCTGGGAGAAACTAAATGTAAGGACCATCTTTTTCTATTCTCGATGTAAAACTGTAAAACAGTAGTTCACACCCAGGAATCTGTGCCTACCTTGATTTAGAAAACTAAACTTGGCTGTCCAAGAAACCAGCCATTTGGTTCTTGTGACATGTTTTTCGGCGAGACAACTCCCAAACCAGATATTATGAAAGGAGACTTCTGTGACCTGTCAGCAGGTGATCCCGGCAGGAGCAGAAGCCAATCTGCAGTCCAGCCTTGAGAGACGTTGTTCGCATCAGCGGGTGTGGACGCTGTCCCCTGGCTTTTCTGATTCGCTGAGTCAACCGCGCGCGCCGCGGGGCTTTGCCGTTTCCAACCCAGGCGACTGTGCTTCGCTGACTAGTGTGCGTCGACTTGGTGGTGTAATTATTGTTTTGTTTTCTGATATGTAATTACTCTTTGTCATCGCTATTATGAATCCGCCGAGCCTGACTGGAGCAGCATAAATGGATTCAAGTTTGGGGTTAGGATGCGATGCGTGGGAATATTGACTTCTCCCCACGCTGAGGACAAGGGAGCCCCATGTCTCTCCCCCTCACTCCAAGCCTAGCAAAAAAGAGGACGCCTGGGGTTGCCTCGCAGACCAGCGACCGTTAAGCCTGACCCCCATACGCAGATCCACTCTCTAGGAGCAGGAATTGGTATTGCTGAGACTCATTTTTCTCTTTAGCATATTTATAGAGAGCGAAAGGAGATGAGGGAGAGAGAAAAGGAAGATAAAGAAACAGAGGGAGAGACAGGATGGAGAGCTGACGGCAGGAGAAAAACAGAGGGGAGAAAGAGTGGAAGGAGATAAACACAGATGCTTGCTTATTTTCAAATGTTTCCTTCTTCGATTTAAAATGAGATACTGGAAAATTCCTTCCATTTCCCACTTGTTTTACCACTCCCTGCTTTGGCAAATCCCATCCCCTGTCCCGAGTAGCCACCTAGTCCCAACATTAGCTCCCCCCAACCTTGCCTCCCACTCAGAGCCAGGCCCGCGCAGTCCGATCCCCCCACCGACGGAGCGACCGGCCGCGCCTCGACAGAGGTGCCTCACTTGGAGGTCCTGAAAAGGCCAGAACAAAGAACTGACGCCGCGAGCGCCTCCTCCAGTGGCTGAGCTCCCTGGACCCCGTCCGCACAGTCCAACCCCTAGGCTGAGCTCCCCCGCGAAGGCCCCAAAACCTCTTCAGGAGCGGAAGTTTAGGGCTGGGCTGGGCACCATCAGGCTGCAGCGCCGCTGGTGCCCTGCCTGCCGTTGTCTGCGGCCTGCACCGCAAGCGGAGCGGTCAGCCTTGCACAGGGACTGGCTGCCCAAGGCGGGGAAGTGGAGTCCCTGGCCGAGAAAAGCGATCCATTTTCTCTAACCATTTGCCCGAGAACTGTCAGGTTAACGCTGCCTCCTCGGTCGCCCAGAGAAGAATGTGTTAAAATTCTTTACACGGGAGTCTCCCTAGACCCAAATATACCAGCCACCCTGTGGCACTCGCTGAGCCGACCGCCGGTCCCTAACCTCTGCCACCTTCTCCCGTTGAAATATGCACATCGCTCTTCAATAATTTAGACACCTAGGAGACTGGACAAGTATAATTTTTTTTCCAAACCCACGAGCATCCGGGTTACCATCAATCATGCTTTTGTTTTATGTGAGATGGGCTTTGTGTGTTTAGCTGCCCGGCTCTATCCCATTTGCATGAGGCTTTTTAATGGGCATTTATTTTAGCTTTGAAGATCTGCTTAAAAATCTAAACCCAGAAAAGGGGGGAGGGGTGCCCCCCTTGTGGTTCGGGTGGATTTGCCTCGGGGGGGGGCCCCTTCCTTTGAGGAGATGGGCCCTGCGGGTCTCGATTACAGATGAATTTTGATTCCGCGGTGGGGCACGTAATGGAACAGAAAAGATATGTTCGTTTTCCTAAATCTCAGGTTTCTTTCTAGCAAACAATGCTCCAGTCAGTATTTGTGTATGAGACAAGTAATTGTGCTCCAAATGCTTAAATAAATCATTGATGGGTGAAATTACACATGCTCACTTAAAGTGTAATGTGATTAAGAGATTATGAGATTGAAGCTAATATCTCGTCTCCCCGCTCCTGGCCCCAAATCTTGACACCAGAAATTTATCAACTACAACTGTCCTGAAATTTACAGATACAATAGGTTTCCATTGAAGACGAATCAAAGACAACCTCGAAAAAAATAAAAATATGTATGTGTGTGTATCTATAGTGTATTGGTCGTGGTTTTATTATAAAAGTACAAGAAAAGGGAAGAGAAAGAGACAGATGATGGGGAGAGGGTGTTTGCTTATTTTATCTTTTATTTTTAAAAAGTCGGGGGCGGAGGGNGGGGACCGTGGCGGGCGATACGTCTGCGAGCTGATTACTCCTCATCTGCAAGCCTCTCCATTTCCTGCACGGTGGGTAAGTCCTTTATCGGGGGAAGCCCCGGCCTCGCCCGCAGCCATCCTTCGCCTCGAGGCGCGCGCTGGGCCGCGGCGCTGGAGCAGCTCGGCGACTCCGTAATGACCTGGGTTCGCCGCAGCTGCGCCCTGACCCTTTGTGATGGCGCCGATAGCGCTCGGATGAAATTATGTCCTTCTCCGGGTGTGAAATTACCATGTTTATTAATTGAGCCAGACATTAGCTTTACCTTTTCTTTTTAAGCCGTGAAAATTTGTGATTCAGGGCAAATGATTCCCCGACAGACGCTGCGCTCTGGATCCCCCCCCTTCGCGGCCCGCGCCCCCCTCCCCTTCCCGCGCTCCCCTTCCCCCACGTCCCGGGCAGCTCAGGAAAGCTTTCTAGGTTTCCGTGCTGGAGAGCCCAAGGAGAGAAAGCAAGCGGGCCTCTGAGTGTGCGAGCGCATGTGTGTGTCAGTGCGCACGCGGGGTTTTTCCTCCTCGGGAAGTGTTATCAAACAATAATAACAACCCCCGACTCTGAATTACAGCATTTCCCCCCAGAATTCTTGATCAGTAAAACCCAAATCCTTTTCAAGACAAAGAGGCATCAATCAGCGACAAAGACAGGTTTAACGTATTAAATCTTTATTAAAGTGAAGTCATTCTTATTGAAATGATGTATTAGGTGTGCAGAAAGATTGGATTTTTTTTTTATGATCTTAAGTTGGAGATGGCGGAGAACAAGCGCTGCTTCTTGCCCTTATTGTTCTGGGCAGGTGTTGGGCTCCTGGGGCTCAGCCCAGGGTCCTACGTCGGGGAGCACCACCTTGGACTACCAAGAGAGGCTGATCCTCTTCCTCCTGCCGGCCCCCACTTTGACTTCCCGAAGCACAAGTGTCCCAGGCCTTCTCAGAAACTTCCCGCCTTGGTCGCCGCAGCAGGGAAACTGAAGCTCAGGCATGGCTGTCCGTAATTTCTCAAAGTCAGTGACTCCGGAGGCCTTAGCGAGGAAAAGGAATGCCCAAGGTGTGCCCTGGTTTTCACGAACAAGACTCAGTTCTCTCGATAAAGAAAGTCCTTGCGCCCCAGGTCTGAAGGGAAAAGAGAACGTGTGTTTGCTCCCAGCAGGCTCTCGGGCAGTTTCCACAATCCTCCGGGCAAGATTGGAGGCAGGAGCTGACAGCCTTCCCGCTTGGAATGGACTCTAAATTAAATTGGCCCTGCGGACCTCGGATCCCGTCAACGTCGGGGAAACCAGGACGAGAAGGAGTTCAGAGAAGAGTCCTCTCTCAGGAGTCTGCTGCCCAGAGTTTCCTGCGTTGCATCTTAAGTGGCTCAAATTCTTATCTCCCCAGGAAGGGGGGTGGGGTGGGGGTGGGGCAGGGAGGGTGTCTAATACCTCGGGCTGCGTCTCAGAATGGCAGCCACAACTTTAACAAGATGTATTTGTGTCTCCACCTTCAGACACACAGACATCCACACCGACTGAAAATGAACTGTTGGAATCAATTTCCTTGGAATACTCAACTTTTTTTTTTCTATCATATTTCAGCAATGGGCTGAACACTATAGCCACTTGATTCAATTTAGTATTTGCATAACCAGAAGAAGAAGGTGGCTTTGCAGACTCAATGAATAGGTCTCTTGTTTGTTGTGTGTGTGTTGTGGGGTTGAATTTTTAAATACATGTAGGGGAGTAGGGCAATAGGAAAGCATCTCTAAGACTGCGTTGCTGTTCCAGGGTTCAGAAACAGAGAAGTTGCTGCTGGGATGGTGACAGACTGTTGTTCCCTCTCCCCTCCACGTTCTTCTTTCACTCTTCTCTCATATCCACTCAGAATCCTCTACCTTCAAATATTCGCTGATTGGATATTTCCTTCATTTGTTCCAGGAAGTCTTGCTTTTAAAGATAAATTCCTTTGGTAAACTATTTGAAATAATTCAGTAGCAAGGAGAGATGGCAATGTTGTTTTATACTCCGCACATAGGAAAGGAGCAAGCTGATTTTCAGGGCAGTCTTCAGAAATAGAGCCACTTTTAATAGGATTCCAACCAGTGCACTAATTAAATATTTCACAGCTCCCAAAGTTAATGTGCTAACATTGGGATTTTTTTCCACCAAGTCATACAAATTGGCCTTCTGTAACACCATCCCCCACCTCAGCTACCCCCTCCCATACCCACCCACACACATACACACTCCCTGCCACAAACTCCTACTGGCCTTTTTCTGAATGGCATTACAAAGAATTTTGTTAAAGAAAAGTCAGACTAATTGCTGCCAGAAGACCCGTCTCTCAGAGAAGTCTGGTTTTCATAAGCCAGATTTAGTAAGAGTTGTGGTTAAATCTAAGCCTAGTAGAAGGTTCTTAGTCTTTCTCAGCAAAGGAGGGAAACGCTAAGAAAGAAACACTAAGTTCAGTCGAAATACTCAGTGGGGAGAGAGGGGAAGAAAATTGGGGTGAGAGAGAAAATCAAGAGGATTTTCTGAATTCTTGTTTGCTTCTTGATTCATTTCCTTAGAATAGCTTTCTCCAAACTTACTGACACCCATTGAAATAGTTTTTCTAAGCAGCTCCAGTTTCACTGAGTCACAGACCAGTGACTTGATTCTCTTGATGTGGCACTAACATCCAAGGACTGGGAATTATACAAAAAGGGTATAGGAAGGAGATTTTCCAGCCCCAAGAGGCACCTCCCAGCTCCAGTCTTCCCCTCAGACCTGATTGAATTAGTGGCAAAAATCCCCTTCAGAAACACACAGGTGGATTCTTCCCTTTCTAAGCCATGTCACTGAGAAACACAAGGCTTTTCTAGAACTTAAAGGGGGCAGTACCAGTTCAGGCTTCTCAGCCTTGTAACAGAGTTAGATATCAGCGGTGTAGGTGGAATTTAGAGAGATCAATATTTCTTTGAGTATTAAAAAAAAACACCTCTAAGAATGGTCTCATTATGACTGAGCTAGTTTAATTTTAGGTTTTCCTCTTCAGAATATTCTTCTATTTTGTTGTTCTTGGAGCTTTTTATAGGTACAGTCCTAGATGGTTAGAAGCCTCATGGAATTCATCATCTTTACATAATTGGTCTCCCCACCCCCACCTTGTTTCAGGTGCCTCAAGAAGCTGGAGTCACCTACGTATGTCTCGTGATGCAAGAGGAGGAACCCATTCAGTTCCCAGCCTCCGAACTTCGTGGGAATCTTCAAGACATTTTTGGCTTGGCAAAATATCCTCAAGGTTAGAATTCATCACTCCCATGCTCCTTGATATTCCAGAAAACAGTTTCTCTCCTTGGAATCTATTATCTTGGGTTCTTCCATTTAACTGGCTATGGAGGGTGTGGGTGAGAAATAGAGAGAATATGAAAGACTATGGTCTCCCCAACTAAAAGGGTTCCCCAGTCCTTGCTATCCTGGTGCTTAGTAGTTAACTTCCTTCTCCTTCCCAAGATTACTGCTTCCTACTGAATTCCCACCCCACACATCTTACTGCAGGGATGAAAAGAGGATTGGAGGTGATCTTGGTGTTACTTTCTTCTGCCCTATAATTACCAAAAGGTCATAATGTAAGCAAATGAATACAAATTTCAAAGTCACTCTTCCTCACTTTCCCCTGACAATCCCCTGATAAGGTTTAGGTATTGAAGGATTTTATCGATTCTTTACTGTTTCGTCACCATAACAAAGTAATTTCTTGTATCTATGAAGCTCATATGTGTCTCATTTTCCAGTTCCCAGGATGAATCAGGACAGCCTTCTTTCTCCCCAAACTCCTATTACTTCTGATCCCACAGTCTGACCATTTTAGAAGACTAAGGCAGCCAGTTCCCAATCACCTATTAAAACTGTTGTCCTGGAGGGTCTCACTTAAAATAGGTACCTGGACCTCAACATTAACAGCAAACTTGGCTCATCCACTTGGTTAATCCAGGAGACCTCCGTGATTTCATCTGGCTCTGGAAGTGGATCAAGGATAGTGGGATTGGCATTGAAAGGCCCATGTGAGTGGGAAGAACTTATCACTTGCAAGCACTTCATAATCTTCCTTAGCTTGGACATGTGAGGAATAAGAGGAAGCACCAAAAAGGCCCATGGAGTCTCACGCCATAAAGGTCTGCTGTATTCTAAGGCTGTATAACAAGTGCGACGTCCATTTGTGTTGACTTTCTCCTCCTTGATATCATGAAATAAATTGTTGCAGAAAGAAAACTAGCGAAGTCCCTTAAAATCAGTCTCGACTTGAGGTGATTTGAGATTTGAAGAAAACTGTTTATTACTCTGACGTTCTCATTTTATAAACAAGCAGCAAAGCTGTGTTTCTATAATAGAACTACAATCTCTTCTGTTTGTGTGTATTTACATAATAATTGCTACACAAAATCAAACCTCATGCTTCATCTTTTGCGTTTGGCTTCATTACTTTTTTCTACAGCATCAAAAATATTATTTATATCAGCTTCTAAGGTCTTTTCCAGAGTTCATCTTTCACTCTGTCATTCCTCCTCCCCCCCCCCTTTTTTTCTCCTAATCAATAAAAGTTTTTTTCTCCTGAAGCTAGGAATCCAGTCAAAGTATTAAATCAGGAGTATGTAAGACTCCCATATTTACCAAGAAAGTATTATCACAAGGCAGACATCTTCAAATTCAACTTTGATTTATGCCTGTCAGAGGCCACAAATGAAAGATTGGATATATACATGGGAATCAGCGAGGGGATCTTTTTTGTCAGAGCTTTTTGCTAAAGAGACTACCAATAATATCCTTTCAACAGAGTCCTTCTCTGTTCTCTGCCCATTTCGCTGAGCTTGTTTCTGCCTGTCTTTTTATCCCACTGGACTGCCCAAACACTCCACAGAGGCAGTTGATTCTGTAATCTCAAAGAAAAAAAAATAACTGAGATGAAACGTGTTTTCTCTTTAAGGGTGACCTTTGACCTTTCCTTTCCATACACCTGACACCAAGGCTTTAGAAAAAGACCTGTTTGGGGGTCTGTGATACTGGTGTTGCTTCTCTCTCTCTCTCTCTCTCTCTCTCTCTCTCTCTCCCTCCCTCCCTCCCTTCCCCCCTTCCTCCTCCTCCCCAAGCCCCGCTTCTCAGACGCTGAACTCAATGAAAAGTTGTTGCAATAATCGCAGCTCCCCGCTCCGCCAGGACTGAGGGAGGCTGGCGGAACACCCTCGGTTAAATGCTCCCGTCGTTCGCAGGGGCTGGGACTTGATAAAAGGAGACAGTTTTCTGAAAAGATTTGATTGAAATGGCGTGTGCCAGGGCTGATGGGAGCCAGCGAGGGACAAAGCGCCGCGAATCCATGGACACTCGAGCAATTATGCTTCCACGCTGAAGGTGGATTAGCGCGCTGGAAAGAAGCATATGTTTGGCCCGGGGCGACACTTCCCCCCGGCTGAGCTTAGAGAATGGGAACGCGGAGAGCGGCTGGACCCGGAATATCAACTATCTGCTAAGCCCCCTCCACAGCCCAGCCCAGCCCTACCAGTCTCCCCGCCCCCGCCCCGAAAAGTCCGAGCGCATTTTTATAAAGGGAGGACGAGCAGGAGGGGGAGGAGGGACCTGGGAGGAGGGAAGAAGGGGGAGGGAAAACCCAGAGGTGCAAATGGGCCTGGGATTGGCCCGGAGCGCCATCCAAGGCTTTCATCTCGGGTCATCCTAATGGGAGACCCCTGCTTGGTTTGCATAAATACTCCCCCCTAGAATTTCCCGCAGCTAAGGTAGTTCGGTCCTGGATGTTTAGTCAAACGGGTATTGGAAGGTCAACCAAATTGTTGCAATAAAACAAGGTGTTAATGACTTTTGAAAGACTCAAGTGGCTAATGGTCAATGCTGGGGTGGGCAGGCGGAGCTGGGCGGCTTCGTGGGTTCCCAGCCGCGCCTTGGGTCTACGTGAAGGGAAGGCCTCGCCTCGGGAGAGGTGTCCACGCAGTTAGACGTTTGGTGAAGTGACTTAATAGTGAAAAGCTCGGGGAGGCCTGGTGGGAGAGAAAGGGTGAGGGTGCCGGGAGGGGAGCCCCACGCAGCTCTATCTGCTCAGACAGCGATGCTGAAACTTCGTGCTGCCTTGGGAGTCGTGGAGCCAGAAAGTTTCCCCGATTCTGCCTCCAGTCATTAATTAAAGCACTGTTCCCGCGAAAAAGGCCCTTAAAACTCTGACCTGGTGACTCCCGACTCCCCTCAATGCACCGGCAAGCGCGTGAAGGGAGGCGGGAGGCTCAGGCAAGTCCCAAACCTCGTTCTCAGGGTTTAACTGCAGCTTAATTGGGTCTAACCCTGACGCGAGCGCCGGTGGCCGCCGCCCAAGTCGCCCACACCCCCTTCCCCGCTGCCCTCTAGGCCCCTGCACCCCCACCCCCGCTTCCTTCCAACTCCAGGCTCAAACCTCCTGTCCCTCATTCCATCTTCCGCCTCCCACCTCCAACTCCAGGCCATCAAAATCAAATTCCGAATTGCTTCTAATCCAAAGGGGCACGCAGGGGATTTTTCCCGGGAATTTAGCTAGGCCGGCGCCCAGGCAGGCGGGCGGGCGGGCGGGGTCAGAGGTGGGCCGGACCCGACACAGTGAGGGGTGTGGAGCTCGCCGCCTCCTCCCGGGCGGGGGTCTTGGCTCCCGGAGCTGAGATCAGGCGCTGGGACGGACTCCATGCTGTGGACAAAAGCGCAGCCGAGACTTGGGGGCTCCAAAAAAGACAGGGGGGATCCTGAAATAGGATTTGATAGCTGACAAAGCAAACGGAAATTTGATCCTAGCATTAACTCAGCACCTCAGGAAAAAAGAATCTTTTAAGCTATATTAGCAAAATTTAGTTTGACCAAACGCTTCCAATATAAATATAAATAAATATCTATACATATAGGTGTGTATATTTCCCCAGGGTAACCTGGGTTTAAAAGAATGATGAGCGGAAACAACTCAAGGGAGAGCCCCGAGAGACGTGTGTCCAGACAAAACACGGGCCCGGTTTTTTTCAATTGTACCAGTTGAGAGTTGTGGTGGACAACCCAACAATGGGCCAAGCTGGACCACAAGACTCCACCTTCAGTTTGAGGACTTGTATTTAAGGTTGTTATAGGAATTTGGCGGATATAATATTTATTTCCATAGAAAAAATCTCGCTCAACGAAACCATAGCATGGAATCGGGCCACTGAAAAAAAAATTCTCTCCCTGATGATGAAAATATTCCCACCACTAAAGGGACGTTAGTATAGAAAGTCGAACTAAGTCGAACTAATCATAGGTCGTTCGACCGAAGAAAGACTCATTCTTGCGTTTAAAAGAAAGAAAGGAAGGAGATGAGAGACGAGAGAGAGAGAGAGAGAGAGAGAGAGAGAGAGAGAGA